TAATTAAAACGCTGTAAACTCAAAATTAATAAAAATGCGCGCGATCAATTCGATCAATAAGTTATGCTACGTATATATGCCGTCATTACCCACTGAACCGCGCCTATCCCTGCAAAGTATGCCGCGCAACCCGTCGTACTGCCCAATATGTATATGCAACACCCTGTACATGATGAGGGAGAAAATAATATTACGTTACGAGTCGTTTTGGATAAGACAATGCAGAGCCCAATGGAGATATATGTATTAATCAGGACTGCTCTATAAAAAACATTCTTTTTTACACTTTGGCCGATTCAAACATGTAGGATATAGCAAAAAAAAAATCGTAGCCACTTTCCCAGGAACTCATTTTAATCGGTAGAATCTGCCTTTTAAGATGCCATTGAGTTTTCGTTTTGATCATTTTTTGTAAAGTTATATCAAGTTAAATAAAAAACGAAAAAATGCAATTTTTAACTTAATTTAAAAATGAATATTGTGCCGTCAAAATAAATGCTTTTTACAGGGTAGACTTTTAGCTTTTGATTGCTTTTTTTAAAAATGATGTACGATGATTGGTGTGGCTTTTATAGGCGGTCAAAGTGTTTAAAGCGATTTTTGCGTTGCTACTGAATAACTCGCTGAAAAAAATTGTAGAATCATTTTTAAAAAAGCAAATTGAAGAGGAAAGTCTACTCTTTACAATGCAATGAACGAAATTTTGTTCCGATTTGTTTTCCACTCCGTGTGCCTTGCCAAATTTGAAAAACAATTTTTTAATTTGTCAGGAGCCGCTTTTAAATATCATAACTTTGAAACCAATAACAATTTTTTAAATCTGCAAAAAGATTCTGAAAGTTGAAACTTCAACCTTCAAAATGCGATACGCATGGACAGCAGTACGCACGGACAGCGACTCTCGTCGCGCGACCAAACTTTTTGTTGCCGTGCAACACTCATCGCTGGCACACCTAGAGCTACATCTTACGCATCTAGTCGCGCGAAACGCGCGTTTATTCGCCCATCTTTTTTAATTAATACTTAAATAATTATTGCGAGAATTGCAAAATGGTAAAGAACTTTTCTGTTTTGTTTAACGTGCTCTATCAGCTTACGAGCGTTGGTCCGTGAGTTACCGGATACTTTGTATATAGCAACAAATTGTATGTACATAACAATAACATAATAAATTTTTATTTCTCATACACATAATTTTTTTTTTGTTTTGCTCTAAGAGAATATTCACTAATTTCTAGTAACTTTGCACGTTGAGCAATCTCCCGTTATTGCTTAACCTATTTTGCAAGCAAAAAATTCGGAACTTGCATATTTCGAGAGAGCAAATTTAGACAATATCTTAGAACCAAATTTAAGCAAACAACAAATTTTTATCTGGTAGTTTACTTTTGCAAGTTTGCAGGTTGAAAGGTTTTTTGCTATTGTTTAAACTTATTTTACAAGCTGCAAATTGCATATTTCGAGAGCGACAAACTAACAACAAATTTTTATGTTTTTGTTATGTACAATTTGTTGCTATATATATATATTGTTCCGCTAACTTCATGAATCCTGTAGTTCACAAGTTGACGCGCAATTACGCTGTCGCCAAATTTCTTGAAGAGCATCTGGGGAAGAATGAAATTTCGGGCAGCTCATCGTCAAGCATTAAGCGAAGGTCGAGCGCGAGTGATACTGATCTTGTATGGTGATATCGGATCCAGAGATAATCTGGATCCTGAACTGAGAGCGTACATATCTATGAACACGTACACGCTCAATGGGGAGATCCTTGGTTTTGGGACAAATTAAGATACGCGTTGCCTCATCAATCCAGACGACCAAAAAGCAACCATGCCCGAAGAGAGGTTCTCGAATCTGAACTGTAGAATCATAACTGTAAACAAACAAAGATAACAAAAAACTCATTTATTGTATTTCCTAAGTCACTTACGATCACTCTATCGTAAACTGATTTATATCAACAAATATAGCTATAATCATGAGTAATGAAATTGATACAATTGCAAGTAAAAAATTCTTTTCTACAAAGAAAGAGAAGATTTGACAGCGAGTAAAAATGATAAATGTCATAGAATTATCACTAACTTATAACCAGAAAATGTATTAACACCATATTTTATTATATATACTTTATAAGATAGTTTATTTATCGATTTCTTACAATATTAAAAATAAAGTGCTATCCCATAATTATACAATTTAGAACAAAATGGTACTATTTCGCTATGCATGCAGATGGTTGTCGCTGTCTGTTTGGCGTTTTGTGGGATCCGAAGTATTAAACAAAAGTCAAGCATCCTCGATGGTATCAACCTATCATAAGAAGTAACATTTATTCTATGTATGTAGTAGTTCCTAAGAAATATAACGTATTTGCATAAATATTTAAGACAAAAGGAAATGTACAAGCTCTACAATAGTGGTAGAGGACATCCTGTATAAATTATTAAGACAGTATCTAGCAAGCAATTAATTTTGAATTAATCGAATCTTAAAAAAATATTTTTTATAAGCATTAAAAAAAATTTTCATATATTATTTACTGCTTACTGCATTACTATAGGGGAAGGTGGGGTAAGACGGACCCCCTAAGCGAAAATGGCTATATTTTTTATATTAATGACAAAAAATAACTGAAATTTAGCATGAAGAAACTGTAGAATGTTTATTATAAGATTATAATGTTAAATTTTTTCAAAATTTGCCAAAAGTTTGAATTATTATTAAGATTTTTAAAAAACTTAATTTTAGTCCGTTTTACCCATAGGTGGGGTAAAATGGACCATCCCATGGGGTAAAACGGACCAAGCCGAGATAATATGGATCAAGAAATAATTTAACTGATTAACTCAAAATCAAAACTATATATTATTTAT